GTCAGACCAGTGTGACCTCAAGTCTCAGCAACTCAAGAGAGAGGGCTCAGTGATGACAGACAGACTGTGGCCTTGTGCTACTGAGTGACCCCAGCCCCGCACACAGACAGACTACAACGTCAGAGCGAAGGGTGGATTGCGATGTCCTGGAGCCATGACCCAACACAAGTTGGAGCACTGACCTGGAAAGTGTGCTGCCGTTTTGGGATGGTCAGGTCCGTCACTCGGAAACTCAACTGATCCTTCAGGTTCTCCGATAATGTCAGATTACAGCACTGAGGGGGAACAAAAAAATACCTTCATTTCTATAGCACCCTTCCCAAACTCAGGCTGCCCTGATATATTCAATACCACTTAGAATCTCAGTCACTGTTGTAAATGTAGGAAACACAGCAGGAAAACTGGGGAAAGCAAGATCCCACAATGACACAACGGGCTCAACCTTATGTTGTTTTGGATAAGTCCAAGTGCATTCCAGTTTCTTTTGGAAGATTTCTCCTTGTGATTCTTTCATCATATCAGACCAAACGCATCCCATTAATTAGCTCCCACACTCCAATGGTGTCAATCACATCTGATTTAGCCATAAGACCATCAGAAATAGGAGCAGGAACAGACCATTCAGCCCTTCGAGTCTGCTCCACCATTCAATAGGATCAAGGCTGATCCCACATTCCTCACGTTCATTTTCCTGCCCTTTTCCCCACAATCCCTGCTTCCCCGACTGATCAAGAATCTGTCTCAGCCTTAAACATACACAAGGACTCTGCCCCCCACAGCTCTCTGTGGCAAGGATTTCCAAAGACTCACAACGCTCTAAGAGAAGAAATTCCTCCCCATCTCAGTGTTAAATTGGTGCCCCTTTATTCTGAGACTGTGCCCTCTGGTCCTAGACCCTCCCATGAGGGGAAACACCCTCTCAGCATTTACCCTGTCAGGCCCCTTAACAATCCGATATGTTTCAATGTGATCACCTCTCATTCCTCTAAACTCCAGGGAGTAGATCCCAACCTGTTTAGCCTTTGCACATAAGTCAGTCCCCCCAATAGCACTGACCCTCCAAAGTGCGGCACTCCCTCAGCACTGACCCTCCGACAGTGCGGTGCTCCCTCAGCACTGACCCTCCGACAGTGCGGCGCTCCCTCAGCACTGACCCTCCGACAGTGCGGCACTCCCTCAGCACTGACCCTCTGACCCTACGGTTTCCATGACTGTAAACCCAGATGTATGTGAAATGTTCACTTGGTCTCTCTCTGGAATCGCTGCCCAATCTGACAGCGTCCACTCGGTTCATTGTCAGTTGCTGACTCAGCTCCAGGCCCGTTTTCCCATCAGCATTTCTTGCAGAAACATTCCTGACAGAGGGAGAATTGCTCAGATTCCAGTCTCATCCCACTCTTCCATAGTTTCACCAATTGTCAGGCTCCATCTCTCACCAATCCCTCTCTGAGTTTTCCTTGGATTCTCACAATTCCATTCCCTCATTTTCCTTTCCATCTTATGTTCCTCCCCTTTGCCTTCTCCCTCTCCCCCTATTATGGATCTCCCCCCAGAAGCTCTGCCTCTTCCTGATGTAGTTACCCCTGACCCTCCCCTCAGCCTCTCTCGCTCACAGGTTGATTTTAACTCTGAAACTCTCCACAAATGACTTCTGTCCCCTTCAGGGCCTATCCGCTCCCCTCCCCTTCCTTCCTGCCCAGTGATCCTTGAGCTCCCTGTCCTCCACCAACTCTGGCTTTTTTGCACAATTCCTGGCATCCATCAACCTCAAGTGCCTGCTCCCCAGGCCCCTACCACTCTTGGTGCCTCGCACTCCCCTCCTCCAACACCTTCCTTAAATCCTACCCCTCACACTAAGCTATCAGTCACCTGCCCTGATCATTCCCTCATGTGGCTCCATTTCATAGAATCCATACAGTGTGGAAAGAGGTCGTGCGGCCCATCAAGTCCACACCACCCCTCTGAAGAGATCTCACCCAGAAGCACACCCCTACCCCATTCCTGTGACCCTGCATTCACCATGGCTAACCCACCTGACCTACACATCCCTGGACACTATGGGGCAATTTAGCATGGCCAACCCACCCTAACCTGCATATCTTTGGACTGTAAGAGGAAACCAGAGCACCCGGAGGAAACCCACGCAGACACGGGGAGAATGTGCAAACTCCGCACAGACAGTTGCCCAAGGCTGGAATCGAACCCGGGTCCCTGGTGCTGTGAGGCAGCAGTGCTAACCGCTGAGCCACCGTGCAAACCTAATACCAACCGGTACCGCTCCCTCTCCCGCCCCGACAAAGGGGTACTTAGTGTGGATGCCTCATCATGTCCAAGGCACCATTTAAATGTACATCCTCGTTGTTGTTGCTGGATCAACAGGAGCAACTGTGGGGTGGGGATGGTGAACACAGTGGGGGGGGGGGGGGGGGGGGGGGGGGGAGGGGGGGGGGTGGAGAACACGGAGGGGGAGGGTGTGGGGGTGGAGGTGGGGGGTGGTGAACGGGGAGGGGGAGGGTGTAGGAGGTGGGGTTGGGGGTGGGGGTGTTGTTTGCGCGGTCGGGATTCTCCTCGCAGCTCCCCCCGCCCACCCCACCCAGCGACTGTGACACTCACAAAGATGTGCATGATGTAGCTGTACTGCTCCACTCGCCTCTTGGTGATCAGAAGCATCTTATCGAACAGGAAGAGTGTCCGCTCCTTCTTGGCTCTCTGCACCCGGAACGTTCCTTCCAGGACCAGCTCCCCAAACGCAATCAGGTCCGGGCCTTTCCAGTGCAACAGCGAGTTCTGAATCTCCTGCAGATGACGGCAAATCCAAGAAGGTGATAAAGACAGAGATCAGGCACTTTATAAACTTCATCGACAGAAGGTGGTGTTTCTGTGAGTAGGAGAGACTGGGACCTGGGGGCACAGCCTCAGGGTGATGGGACAACCCTTAAGAACTGAGATGGGGAGGAATTTTTTCAGCCAGAGTGTGGGGAATGTGTGGAACTCACTGAGTGTGGTTAAAGCAGAGATAGATCGGTTCTTGATTAGGAAGGGGATCAGAGGTTCCAGGGAGAAGGCAGGAGAATGGATGTGAGAAACATATCAGCCATGGTGGAGCAGATTCAATGGGCCAAATGGCCTTATTCTGCTCCTATACCTTACAGTCTGATAGCCCAGGGTCATTCACACCCATGTCACCAACCCCCATGTTCCGCCCTTCTCATCATTTACCCCGACTGTCTCCTACAAATTACCAACACCATCATTATCCCCATGTTTCTCACAAATGTTTTGCTTTGAGGTGTGTTGTTGTTGCTAAATCTATCCCCCTCCGAATCAGCTCAAACAGTGATGGTGATTATTCTCTCAGCTTCTCAGAGCGTCGAAGATCCCATAGAATCCCTCCCTGACCAATCACAGTGTTCAGGAAGGGGTGGGGCGATGGAAAGGGTAAAGCACAAACAGTGAGGGGCAGGGAAGAGGGCAAGGAGGGGGATACGGGGGGAGGAGACGGATATGGGGGG